GTAGGGGGGGGGGCTAAATGTATGTCTTTATGTATCTATATGCTTGCACGTCTTCTTCCTTGCCTGTACAGGGTGCAAATTGTTCAGGCTGCCAATTCCTTCCACTGTCGTCACAGCCAGCCCGTGCATTGAGCACACAGGGGCTAGACAGGCGTTCACGCTGAAGTGAGTGAGGTATGTTAAAGAATTTTCGAGGAATTGTTTGTCTTGCTTGTCTTATAGAGGTCGCAGGAAGTGTGAAGAGGTAAATGGTAAAATATAATGTTAAAAGGTGAGGGTTAAAGGATATGTGAAAAGGTGAAGGGTAAAGTTTATATAAAGATGTAAGAATTCAAGGATACGCGAAGAGATAAAGAAGTAAAGAATATGTGAAAAGGTTAAACAAAACCAAAAAAAAAGGATGTGTGAAGAGGTAAGAATTTAAGTATGTGGGAAGAGGTAATAGGTAAAATATGTGGAGAGGTAGTAGGTAAAATATAAATGAAGAGGTAAAAGTTAAAGGGAATGTGAATAGGTAATGAAGTAAAGAATATGTGAATAGGTAAAAAATAAAATGGATGTGCGAAGAGGTTAGAGTTAAAGGATGTGTAAAGAGGTAAGAGGTGAAATATATGTGAAGAGATAAGAGTTAAAGTATATGTGAAAAGGTTTAGAGTTCGAGGAAATGTGAAGAGGTAAGGGGTGAAGTATATGGGGAAAGGTTAGAGTTCAAGGAAAAGTGAAAAGGTCAAGAGTTCAAGGATATGCCACCGTATCCTGCGCTAGTAGGTACAAGAGTTCAAGGATATGTTAAAAGGTCAGAGTTCAAGGAAATGTAAAGAGGTCAGAGTTCAAGGATATGCCACCGTGTCCTGTTCTGGTAGGTACTTGGACACCATGACTGTGCACGCACCACATCCTCCCTCACCACAGCCCAGCTTACTTCCCGTCAGGCGGACTTGGCTTTGGTCAAGACACAACAACAATAATAATTTAGATTGCATTTGCATAGACAATGAAACTTGCAGAATGTGATTTGTATCTCTGTGGAACAATGCGTGTGGAGTTTTGAAAATGTTCGACAATATTAGAGCTAAGTTCACTTTTAGTAAAGCAGTACCTCATAATTACAAAGTTCTATCTGCTGAGTACCTCGTTTTGATAAATTTGACTTCAAAGGTGTTGAGTTTCATTTCATGTCAACATTTGTATAGCGCCAAGTCCCGCTCAACAGCAAGCTCTATGCGCTTTACAATCTATACTATTACCCCAGCAGACCTGATAGCATTCTGAAACATTTTCAACTTTCTGGGAAGCATACAGTGCAAGTTGCCATTTTGTGGGCATCTGACACACTAACATACTCATAAGATCTTTTGCTGTCTATTGCCGGGTACCCATTCCCACCTTAGAGAGGTGAGGGAAATAGTGTGAAGTGCCTTTCCCAAGGACATAATATCGGGCCTAAGGCTTGAACCCTTGAACCCTCAACCTCACAATTATGAGTCCGGTGGCCTACCGACGCCCCAACAATAATTATCTTTAATAAAGGCACAACAACGATATTATCATTATCATCTTTGGTTTTTAAAAAAAACAAACAATGGTATTATCTTTTGTAAAAGTAGAACAATATTGTCTTTGGTAGAGAGAGAACGATGACATTATTATCTTTTGTAAAAGTAAACCAGTAACAATGATAGTATCTTGTGTAAAGGCATAACAGTGATCTATGCTTTCTTAAGGCATGGCAAAGGTATTATCTTTGGTAAAAGAATAAAAATGACTGTATCTTTCATAAGCATAAAATTAAACAATGATAAGTTATTTGGTAAAGGAATACTAATGATATTATCTTTGGTAAATGCATAACAACGATTGTTCGAGTACCGAAGAATAGCAATGATATTATCATGTTTGATCAAGGCACAACGATAGGAATATCTTTGATAAAGGAATGGCAGTGAGTATCTTTTGGTAGAGGAATAACCATGACTTTATCTTTGATCGAGACAAAACAGTAACACTATCTTTGATAAACGAATAGCAATGATATTACTTTTGGTGGAAGAATAACAATATAACTAACTTTGGTAAAACCATAGCAATAATGTATGCGTTAAAAGCATATCAATGAATATTGCCTAATGTTAGCTTTTGTCCTTCAAGGGAGAAAAATCTAGCTAGCCGCACTTTGTCAAATAAATTCGATTGGCAGAGTGCACACTCGAAAAGGATACGTCGAGTCCGGATGTACGTCAGAAGGGTCATCTCAGGGTCCGGGTTCGGTTCTGTGATCTAGAATTAAGAAAGTCAAATACATTAAGAAAAAATAACAAATGGGGGAAAAGCCTAGGCCTATATTGTAAGAAAGGAATATACGCAACTTAAACCTAATGAGAAATCATCTGCCTATTTTCTTGGCTTTAATCTTCTGCCCATAGCAAACAAAATTCTGCTTTTAGCAAAGACTCGTAAATAGCTCTGTAATCCGAACGGCCAAGAATGTTTCCGTTTTGAATAAAAAATGTGAATTTTGAATTCGAAGTAATCCGCCATTGAGACTTATTGTTTAGAATTATAATCACACCAGATTGTGAATGGGCTGGGGTGAAACTGGTACTGTAAAGAGTAGGCCTATGTTCTAAAAAAAATATGCAACGATTAGCAATGTCACAACCTTCCTTTTCGGCGACAGTTGCTCAAAAAATCATTAGATTACTATTGGTGTTGTAGAAATGGCAACAAAACCGATGAACGTTTAATAAGTTTTTACCCTGACTAAGGGGGAAATGGGGAAATGGTATGGGTTTAACGCCCTTATCAACACTATTAGGTTATTTAAGGGGCGGGACCTCCTAGTTTAACGTCAGTCTCCGATAGGACCGAGTCAAGTGGGAAGTTCGTGTAAAGTGCCTTTCCCATGGACACAACGTCGGACTGAGCTGAGGCTCGAACCCCCGAGCCCGCAAGCAATCTCACGATTACGAGTCCGGTTGCCTAACCACTAGGCTACCGATGCCACCTGACAAAGGGGGAATTGTCGTAAGACAATGGAATGTGCTGAGTGTGATTTATTCCATCTTTCTGAAACGACACGTGTGAAGTTTAGGAAATTTCCGACGAGTGGTTTGAGTTAAGAGCACTTTTAGTAAAGCGGTACCTCAAAATTACAAAGCTCTATCTGCTGGGTTCCTAGTTTTGATCAATTTGACGTCAAAGGTGTTGAGTTTCATTTCATGTCAAGCTTTTTCGAATGCAATTTATTACACTTTGAATATCTTAATAACGACTACGAATAATGTTACGATTTTTATAGAGCTGACAGTGCATAATTAAAATTTGGTTTCTGACCTCATAATCCAAGAACAGCCCAAAACTTTGTAATTCTAACGGTCTAACGTAGCGAAAGATAGTTCTTGAATACGAGGGCAGCTGTAAATGAAAAAAATTCTCCTGCCTCATGACAATGCTCAGGTGCACAGAGTGGTGAAGGCAACTCAGACAGCAAAGCAGCGTGTCTTCGAAATCAACAATAAACAGTAATGCGCGCAGACAAAAATAGATCTTGCCATCTTGCGTGTTTTCGGGTTCACTGGAAACAATACGAGGTCCACGAGTGTAGAAAAGCTTCTGCACAGTTAATCAATGCGTGTAGATCTAGGCAATGTTGGGAGCCTCTACTAAGGAAACCGGACAATGAACGTTGGTTTAGTTTCCAGTAAACGTTTTTACAGCCCTTGCAACACACGTGGGTCATATAAATGGCGAAGATTTGAGGTGTTACAAGATAGTAACAAACATAAAAAAGGAGGAGAGATATGGACGATAGTTGTTTGATCGGAAAGAAGGAGCAAACCACTCCAGAGCACCCACCAACCACCCACCCACCACAGTGAGCTATCATGACAGAACCGATAGAAGTATGTCTTACCTTGGAACCGTTGACGAAGAACACGACGACATTGTTTGCTTCCGATTCTTCCATGGCGTTGATCTACGTTTGACGAGAGATGGAAAAACGTATCGTTTTCACTCAGTGTAAATGTAGATAACATCAATGCCAAAAGACCCAGTGCAAGTGTTGTTTCTAGTACATAGAATCGTACGGATATTGTCCACAGCTAAAACTGTGTTATAGTATTGTGCGTGGGAAAAATCAGCTATGTCCCAAACGCACGGTTCGGTTTCATTTAGTCTTCTTCCAGATAATGTGAAAGTTTTCTAAACACTTACTGATACTGATGTTAGAGTGCGCAACCTAAATTTAGCCTAGGCCTACCTCTAGAAATTCGTTGTGCTATATCTTGTTATCTCTGCTTGGTTTTAGTTACGCAAGATTTTGCATACATATATCATCATCTCGGTTACTTATGTGAAGGACACGGGTTAGACACGACCAATGTTCTGAAGGAGCGAGACAGATGGCAGGGATTTTTTAAGGGGGG